CTAACCGGCTGCCCTTAAAACAAGATTACCCTGGATTATCAGGATGAGCCCAGGGTAATCACAAGTCTTTTAAATGTGGGAGGGAGGGTTCAGGTAAAAATGGCTGAATATTTAGCTTCAATATTTGAGGCTGAGAAGGACGAGGTTAATTGTTCTTTTTAAGATCAGGGCCGCCGTGCTCCGGCTTCACAATAAACTGACTGTCAGCCAGACCATGACGCTGCCCAACCTGTACTGGAACCCACAGAACACGGCCTACCGCAGAAGGATCCCACTGCCACGTGAGCAACGCGGGGGTGCAGGAACACTCTGATAACTTCTTTGAGGAGGTGTTCACAGACTTCAGGAGAAGAACAGGGAGACTGAAGAGATGAGCATGTGCAACAATTTGGGGGATCACCCCGTGAGCGACATCTGTCAAATTTCGGCACAGAGAGGATGCAGAGCAGGCAATGACTGAACTCAACAACCGCTGGCTCAACGGGCAGGGAGTGCATGCCCAGCTGCCTTCTGTCACAGACTTCCAGGAGTAATGCTGTCAGCATGAGCTGGGAGAATGCACCATGGTGGCTTCTGCAACTTCATGCACCTGCAACCCACCTCCCAAAACCTCTGGCAGCAGCTCTATGGGTGAGGACCCTGGCACAGGTAACCCCTGAGGTCCCATATCCACCACGGTCCCCGAAAAAGAAGCCAATGACGTTCCCCAAACCACAGGCACGGCCACTTCTGAGATCCTGGCCCTCTTGCCCTCTACCCCTGACGGGCACAGAAGTCCTGCCCAGGACCCATCCTCAAAGCTTTCTTTAACTCCCCAGGGCCATCTTCCCCACCCTCTGGGGCCTACCACCCCTTCCCTAATAAAGTCCTGTATTGAGGGTTTAAAAAATATAAATGTGGGAGAGGGAAGCATGACAGTCAGGGTCAGAGTAACCTGAGTGACAAGAAGACTACAGGCCACTGCTGGCTTTGAAGATGGCAGATGAAGGAACCATGGAATGCAGCAGGCTCCAGAAGCTGAGAAAAGCCAGGAGACAAGCTCTTCCCTACCGCCTCCCAAAAAGAGTAGTCCTGCAAACACCTTGGTTTTTCCCTGGTGAGACTCACTTAGGGCTTCTAACCTGGGTTTTTTCAAAGCCACTACACTTGTGATGATTTGTTATAGGGGCAGCAGGAGACTAAAACAGACTTTGACACTGACAGTGGGGTGCTGCTGCAGCGAATGTGGACGTGCCCTTGGAATTGGGCATGGTCAGAGGCTGGAAGATTGTGAGGAGCATGGTAAGAGCCCAGATTGCCTGGGATAGACTTAGGAGAAACACGGATGTTAACAACTCTGCTAGTGAGGGCTCAGAAGGCAGCAGGGGGCATGGCAGAGAAACATGAAAGAGAAGGGCGCTGCCAGGAGGGTTCAGTGGGAAATGAGGAACCTGCTGCTGGAAACTGACGGAAAGGAGATATAGTGTCAGAAAAATGGTCTTCATGACACAGGTACTGACTGGGGTTGCAAACATAAGTCATATAGCCACACCCTACAGGGGCTACAGCCTTGAGAAATGAGGGGTAAGTGAGGAGGGGTGTCGAACCTTCCAGGACTCGGTGGTGGGATCTGTTAAGGTGCACTGTCACTTTTTCATATCCCGGCTGTGTTTTCTTAAAACAATGACCAGGTGTGAAATGATAACACTTATTTCCTTGCTGGCCTCTCCCCCTCCTCTGGAGCTTAAGCCCATGGAACAGAGGCCCTGGCTAGCTTGTCACTTGTGTAGAAGAGCAATTCTCAAACAGTATGTCACGAGAATTTTTAAAACATGCAGTACCTGACTATTTAGTAAGGAACACTGACCTCTTGTCCCTTAGACCGTCAAATAAAAACAATGACAACAGCCGTCAGGCGTGAATGAATCTAAATTATACCTATATTTTTGTCAGATTGGCAAAAAAAATGTAATATATTTTCTGGTGTGCCACGGAATTTTAGTAATTAGTTTATGTGTGCCAAGAGATGAGAAAGGTTGAAAATCACTGCTGTAGAATGGAGCCTGGAACAGTGCCCAGGTACACAGCAGGGGCTCAGTTTACAGTTGCTGAACAATGGGCAACATCTTTTTAGACTGCCCAGGTAGTAGTAAGTTCTGTTGGAACTCTGTCTTGTCTCTAGGCAACCTCCTTTTGCTCTGGGACTTACCAAACCGTATCTGGTGACCACCCCATATCCATCTGCCCAACTAGGCAAGGGGCAGAGCCAAGAAGGCACAATGGAAGGAGGTTCCCTGCACCTGGACAGAACAAGTTTGAATCCCACTCAACGTCTACCAGCTCTGTCTCCCCATCTCTAACATGCAAACTGTCACATCTCCCTTTGAAGGAATCCTATGACTCAAGTAAAATACTACTTACCAGCCTAGCAAATCTCCCCTTTCTAGCTTCACCTGCCCTGCAGGCTTCAAGCAGCCACGCACTTTTTTGAAAGGACATACCAAGAGTAAAAGAGAAACTCTGACCTCTTACTATCACTTTAACTATTAAAAAACCTAACACCGCTCAGTTGGGTGTGGCTCAGTGGTTGAGCATCGACCTAGGATCCAGGAGCTCGCAGGTCGATTCCACTCGGCACAAGCCTGGCTTGCGGGCTCAATCCCCAGCAAGGGATGTGCAGGAGGCAGCCAATCAATGACTCTCTCATTATTGATGCTTCTATCTCTCTCTCTTCCTCTCTCTGAAATCAATAAAAGATATATTAAAACAACAAAAACCTAATACCCTCCACACCCCCACCCCAGCGGCCAATGCAACCAAGAGCAGCATTAAAAAACAACTCATCCTCTAGCTGCTTCTCATCTTTCTGCCTCAGTTATGAAAATTTAAATAAACACAACTTAAAAACAACAAGAACAAATGTCTGTGGAGTGGAAAGAAAGTTAAGAGCAAGACAAAAAGAGGAAAAAAGTAGGTCCCTTAAAAATTAAACTTTTGCATTTTCAACAGGAATTGCTGGAAAGGTATCTATTCATAGCTCTCCTTTCCCTCCAAGTGGCCCATAACCCCACAGTCACAGGGGAGCCAGGCATAGAAGTAGCCTGGCTCTGAGCCTCTGTCACCCTAAGTACGGGTATACAGGAGGTTGGTAACGTGGAGGAGGGGCCTGGCTACCCCCATGGCCCGGGGAGCCTGACTGAGCTCACCCTTGGGATTCCAGGAACAAGAAGGCAGACAGGAAATGAGTCGTCATCTGCCCCCCCCCCCC